TCCTAACCCTCAACCACCTGCCTGAACCTACAGCTGACCCTCAGCATGTGGCTGCCTCTGCTGGACTTGTCTACATTTGGGGAAACCAAGCTGTGCTCCAGGGCCAGTTTTCACCATCAAAGGGGCCAGGGGTGGGTCAGCCCATGTCCCCAGGTGCCCTGGGATCTGCCTCTGCTTTCCTCCACCTGCTGGCCGGCTGCTAGGCTTAGGCACTGAAACAGCCCGTGGTGGCATCAGGATCTTGGGGTGACTGCATTTCCCATGAGGGGAGGTGCCCTTTGCACTTTAGGGAAAAGGGTGGGTGTGTGTCCAATCCTGGGAGCCCCACCTCTGAGTCTGCCCAGGATGGTTCCCTGACTCGGCAGGCGGAGCCCCTAGTGGTCCAGTGCATGAAATTTGTGCAGGGGAGAATGTGTATCCCTCAACCCAGCCTGCAGCAGAATCCCTCTCAAATCCAGGACTGCTGGATCCCAACTGCTCGCCTGCCTACCTGCCTGATTGCCCCTAACTGCTTCTGCCTGCCAACCTGATCACCCTCTAACCACTCCCCTGCGATCCTGATGGATGCCTAACTGCTCCCCTGCCGGCCCAATTGCTCTCAACTGCTTTCCCCTGCAGGCCTGGGATCCTCAACTGCCTTCCCCTGCTGGCCTAGTCGCCCCTAACTGCCCTCCCCTGCAGGCCTGATTGACCCCATCTGCCCTCCCCTGCAGGCCTGATTGCCTCCAACTGCTCTCCCTTGCAGACTTGATCCCTCCCAACTGTCTTCCCCTGCTGGCCTGATTGCCCACAACTTCCTTCCCCTGCTGGCCATCTTGTGGTGACCATCTTGTAGCGGCCATCTTGTGTCCTCATGGGGTGGCGATCTTTGACCACATGGGGGCGACCATCTTCTGTGTTGGAGTGACAGTCAATTTACATATCATTCTTTTATTAGATAGGATGGAAGAGACTTTAGAAAAGAGACATAGCTAGGTGCCCATGGATGGGACTGGAGCTGTCCACGATCCAGTGCTGAATTCACACCACCTCTCAGGATTAACATAAAAATAGGGCAGAATTAGGGGAGATGGAAGTGGCCCATGGTCTTAAGAAACACCTCCTTGGTACACACCACATTCCTGGTCAAGGTCTGGGTCAGTACAACCTCTTGAAAGAGATGAGATGTCCTCACCTGTGGATTCTGTGATGAGCATTTTGAATTCACTTTGTGGTTTCAGGTTCGCTCTCTTCATGCATCAGGAAAAGTGGTGAACTCCCTGTGGAAGTTTCTAAAGCAGAGGTTTTGATGGCTTATTTGTCAGTTCTTAAGGTGAAACTTGAGAAGCAAGTTCACATCACAAGGTGCCAATCACACAGGAAGGGGACCAGCTCTCCTCACCCCAAAACTAGCAGGTGCTGAGGGTCTGACTTGAGTCGCATCTCTGAACTGCCCTCTTTAGTTTTCCTAAACTCTACAATCACATATTGATTTTAACATAGCTTGCTGCCATGTGAAAGTCAAAGCAATTATTTGGTTTACTTAATATTCCAGTGCCAAGCTAATGAACAAAATGGTTAAGGATGTAAAACAGTTTTTAGCAGAAACATGAAATCGTTCTCCCCTAATATCTACTCAGCCTTCTATCAGTTGCACATATGACTCTCCTGACAACAAACAGCAGAATGGACAGTTGGATTCTGCATCTCCTTGTGCAGAGCGAATCTGTCATAGCTGACATCAGAGCGACACTGGAGGGTCAGGCTCTGTCCAAAGGTCACAATGGGGTTATGATGGGTCAGGAGGGAGGGCTTCCAAGACTCACCTAGGGAGATCAGATGTGAATCACAGTGGGTGCTCTTCCCATAAACCCCTTCTCCTGGCTTGACCTCCAGGTCTCACTGTCTCTCTCTGTCTGTTTCTCTGGGCCAATAGCACCTGTACTCCCATCACTTCACCATCTCACACGGGGCACCCCTCACAGCAAAGACCCCCAATAACCTGGCTGGTGCCTCAGTCCATGGATGGGACAATAATGGGACTCACTCGGGACCAGCAGCTCCAGGGGGTCACTGGGGTGTGAGCACACCTGAGGCCTGTCCCTATAGCAGCCATAGCATCTGAACATCCCCTGTGAATGGGGGTCACAGGACCCACAGAGAACAGGGCCTGGGACTGCCCACTGGGCTGTGGCTGTGAGTCCAGGGTCCAGAAGACCCTGTGATCTCCTTCCTTAGTCAGAAGGAACCTGCCAAATCCCTGTTGTGAGCCACACTGGAGGGTCACGTTCTCTCCTGAGGTCAGGATAGGACTGGGCAGGGCTGAGAAGCTGGGTTTGCTGTAGGATCCAAGGAGAGGAGGAGGCAGCGTGTTAAAATGGGCTCACACCTCCCTCATGCCCCCCAGAGCTGGGCTGTGAGTGGGAGACACCCTGAGAGCAGACCCCCTTCCTAAGGGCAGAGACTGAGGCTGGGACCCCTGGCTGTCCTCTCACCTGTCACCATAAGCTTCAGGGGGTCACTGTGCTCTGACGAGTTAGTAGGGCTGAGATAGTAACAGCGATATAGCCCTGCATCGTTGTCTGTCATGTGTGTGATGGAGAACTTGACCTTTTCCTGGGGCTCCAGTTGCTTAGGTTTGTACCAGGTTACTGGGCTTTTCTCTTTATACAGACTGTGCACTTCAAACCCTTGGGTCCTTTGACACCAGATGGTCATGGGGCTCCCATAAGGGATCACAGGGCCTGGCTCAGCCCAGATTATTTGTCTGGGGAGAGTCCCTGCAAGGAAACCAGAGGCTGTACTACAAAGCCCTTCCCTCCCTCATCCCCCACCTCTGTGGTTGGCAAACTGTGGCTCGTGAGCCACATATGGCTCTTTGGCCCCTTGAGTGTGGCTCTTCCACAAAATATCATGGCCTGGGCGCATCCATTGTGAAGAAGTGGAGTTAGAAGAAGTTTAAGTTTAAAAAATTTGGCTCTCAAAAGAAATTTCAATCATTGTACTGTTGATATTTGGCTCTGTTGACTCTTGTGTTTGCTGACCACTGCCCCAGCTCAACCCCAAATCTTCTCATTTTATCACCTCATCCCTGCACCTCTATGCTCCCTCCCGTGCCCCAGGGTTGAAATAAAAGCCGAGACATGGAGCCTGGGGAGGACTCACCTTCGTGCTCCCCGGTCCTCTGGTCTAGACTCAGCCCTGGAAGAGATGTCCCATCAGAGATTTGAACCTGGATGTCTGAGCTGATTTTCTTCCCATCAGGCCCCCATCCACTCGAGCTGCCTGAGCCTGAGGATCCCCATGAACAAGGAGGGGCAGCCACCCCTCCTGCTCCCCCTTCCCGTGTCCACTATAGCAGAGAAGAGCTGAGAGGATGGACATCATGGTGTCTGCTCTGAGGGCTCCTGTTCTGCAGATGGAGGAGGTCTGGGCCTGAAGGACAGAGATGCACAGGATGTGGTGAGTCAGGAGCTGCTGTCCTTCAGGGTTTTCACAGCTATGGACCCATAGCCAGGGGAGGGTACCACCCTGGGCCTGGCTCTGCATCTCCCCAGAAGGAGGGCTCAGGGGGAGTCCAAGTTTCAGGAAGCAGCTCAGCAGTGTCTGAGGTCTCACCTGATCCTAAGGGTCTCATGTGCAGAAGCATGTTGCAAAGCTCCCAGGATCACCCCCTCCCACCTTCTTGGTGTTTTATTTACAAACTAGAGGCTCAGTGCATGAAATTTGTGCATGAAGATTGTGTGTGTGTGTGTCCTTCAGGCCAGCTTGCACCCTCTCCAATCTGGAATCCCTCTCACAACTTAGGACTGCTGTCTATCAACTGCTCCCCTGCCTGCCTGCCTGGTTTTCCCTAACTGCTTATGCCTGCTGGCCTGATCACCCCCTAACCACTCCTCTGCAAGTCTGATCAATGCCTAATGCTCCCCTGCTGGCCCAATTGCCCCTGAATGCCATCCTCTGCCAGCCTGGTTGTCCCTAACTATCCTCCCCTGCTGGCCCTGTCCCCTCTAACTACCCTCGCTTGCCAGGTTTGTCACCCCTAACTGTCTTCTCCTGCAGACTTGGGTCCCCCAAAACTGTCCTCCCCTACAGGCCTGATTTCTCCCAACTGCCCTCTCTTGCTGGCTTGATCACCCACAACTGCCCTCCCCTGCTGGCCATCTTGTTGCAGCCATCTTGTGTCTTCATGAGGGTGGCGATCTTTGACCACATGGAGGTGGCCATATTGTGTTTTGGAGTGATGGTCAATTTGCATATCACCTCTTTATTATATAGAATATTGCACTCCTCCCGTTCATTTGTAATACATGACACATGATTTTATAAGACAATCTGAACAAATAGTTTGTTTCCTATATGTTCCTTTTGTGATAAGCACCTCCTCGATGCCCTTGTGTGTTGATTACTGCACCCATGACCAGCCATCACTTCCCTCTTCCTCCCTGCCTTTCGGACAGTCTGTCTGTATGTGCCCAAAGGCACATAGAATGTTCTTTCCTATCTACCATATTCTCATCCACCTCTTAGGCCTACTCACACAGCCAGTCCTTCAAACACAGTCTAGACCTGGTCCCAGCTGTTCCCATACAGTTCTTTTTAATTTTCCTTTTTGTAAATAATTAATTCACACATTAGCCTTCGAATGTCCTAGTCTACGTGTCCGAGTTCTCAAAATACAGGCAATGTGTCTCCTGGATCATGGATGTATTTCTGGTACCTGGATCAACACCTGGTAGGTAGAAGGAGATAAATCAGTCCAAGACAGAAAGTAATTTCCACTGGTGGAGGCTGACAAGGTACATGATTGCCCTCTTTAGAGCCAGCCCTCCGGGGGTTGGCTCCAATAGAGAACACGGAAACCCAGAGCCACGCAGGGTGGGATCATCCACTGGCTGGGAGCCCACATCTGAGGGAAACCAGAAGGGCGGCAGCAGCTTCTGAACCACATCCTGTGTGTCTCTGTCGTTCAGGCCCAGGCCTCCTCCATTTGCAGAGCGGGAGCCCTCAGAGCAGACACCATGATGTCCATCCTCTCAGCTCTTCTCTGCCTCGGTGAGTTGTGGACTCGAGAGGAGGAGAAGGAGGGGCGACTGTTCCCCCATATTCGTGAGAACCTCAGGCTCAGGCAGCTCCAGTGGACAGGCTCTGATGGAAGGGGAATCAGCTCAGATATCCGGGTGCAAATCTCTCACAGGAACTCTCTTCAAGGGCTGAGTCTGGAACAGAGGCTCCATGTGCATGCAGGTGAGTCCTCCCCAGGCTCCATGTCCCTCCTCTTCCTTCATCCCTGGGGCTCAGGAGGGAGCACAGAGGTGCTGGGATGAGATAGGGGATGAGGGTGGGGAAGGCCCTTGTAAAACAGCCTCTGGTTTTCTTTTAGGGACCCTCCCCAAACCCACACTCTGGGCTGAGCCAGGACCTGTGATCCCCTGGGGGAGCCCAGTCACCATCTGGTGTAAGGGTTCCCCTGGGGCTGAGGAGTACCATCTGGATAAAGAGGGAAGCGCAACACCAGTGTACCAACAGGAGCCATTGGAGCCCGGGGACAAGGCCAACTTCTCTATCACATACATGACAGACCATATTGCAGGGATATATCGCTGTAACTACCACAGCCCTACTAACTCGTCAGAGCACAGTGACCCCATGGAACTGGTGGTGACAGGTGAGAGGACATTCAGGGGTCCCAGCCTCAGGCTCCGCGCTCAGGAAGGGGGTCTGCTCTCAGGGTGTCTCCTGCTCAAATCCCAGCCCTGGGGGACATGAGGGAGATGTGAGCTGTACTACATTCCTCCTACTTCTTCCCTTAGGATCCTATGGCAAACCAAGCCTCTCAGCCCTGCCCAGCCCTGTGGTGACCTCAGGAGGGAACGTGACCCTCCAGTGTGGCTCAGGGCAGAAATTTGACAGGTTCATTCTGACTAAGGAAGGAGATCACAGGTTCTTCTGGGCCCTGGACCCACAGCCACAGCTCAGTGGGCAGTCCCAGGCCCTGTTCCCTGTGGGCCCCGTGACCCCCAGCCACACGGGGAGGTACAGATGCTATGGCTGCTATAGGAACTGGCCTCATATGTGCACAAGCCCCAGTGATACCCTGGAGCTCCTGGTCCCAGGTGAGTCCCATTCTTGTGTCATTCACAGACTGAGGTATCAACCAGGTTATTGGCATCTTTGCTGTGAGTAGAGCCCAGGTGTAATTGGGCGAGAGACACCGATAGAAAGGGGGTTATGGGAGGAGCAGCGCCTGTCATTCATGTCTGGCCTCCCCAGGTGAGTCTGGGAAGCCCTCCCTCCTGAGCCAGCAGGGCCCCATCGTGGCCTCTGGACAGAGCCTGAACCTCCAGTGTCGCTCTGATGTTGCCTACGACAGATTCGCTCTGCACAAAGAGGGGGGACTGGACCTCCCCCAGAGCGTTGTCCTGCAGCCCCAGGCTGGGCTCTCTCAGGCCCACTTCCCCCTGGGAACTGTGAGCAGCTCCCACGGGGGCCGGTACAGATGCTACGGTGGATACAAGCTCTCCTCTGAGTGGTCGGCCCCCAGCGACCCCCTGGACATCCTGTTGGCAGGTGAGGAGCCAACGAGCTCAGATGGGGACCAGACTCTGCACAGGCCCTGCTGGGGATCTCTGGTGGGAAGGCCAGAATGAAAGTGCAGGCCCCATGGAGGGAGAGAGAGAAACAGGGTGTGGGAAGTTAGAGGGGGAAACTCGGAGGAACAGAGACAGACAGAGAGGAAGTCCTCAGAGAGAGGCCTGTTGACTCTCAGGTCAGAACAAGGTGGTCAGGCAGCCCTCACCCTCCCTCTCTCACTCTAGGATGGCTGCCTGACACACCCTCCCTCTTGGTGCAGCCAGGCCCCAGGGTGGCCTCAGGAGAGAACGTGACCCTGCTGTGTCAGTCACAGAGCCTGAGTGGCATGTTCCTTCTGTCCAAAGAGGGGACAGCTGATCCCCCCCTGCGTATGAGATCAGAGTACAGAGCTCGGTTGTACCAGGCAGAGTTCTCCATGAGTCCTGTGACCTCAGCCCACGGGGGAACCTACACGTGCTACAGCTCACTCAGCTCCTCCCCCTACCTGCTGTCATACCCCACTGAGCCCCTGGAGCTCATGGTCTCAGGTGAGGGGCCCCTGACCCTGTCTGCTGAGCTGTCACCCCAGGGTTCCCAGAATTATGGGCTGAAAGGGAGTTGGGGCTCTAGGGATTGTCACCTTAAATTTAGCTTTCCCTCAGAGGCCCTCACACACCTTTCCACTCCCTTCCCCTCATATGGGTCCAGAAGGGGTCAGCTGGGCAGTGGGAGGGTCTGAGAGGCCACAGCACAGATGTAGGAATCTGAGTGAGTTTCAACTCCAGGGTCTGCACCAGTCTCTCACCCTCTTCCTATCCTCACTTCCAGAACCCTCTGGAGGCTCCAGCCCCCCACCCACAGGGCCCCCTTCCACAGCTGGTGAGTCCCAGGGAACTCTGCCCAGAATGAGCACTGCCCACCCAGGAAGTCCTGAGAGTCTGTCAGGAGATTGAGTGACCCAGGTCCTCAAGGACCTGTTGTGTCCCAGTGGAGGGTGAGGGGAATTCTCAGGCTCTGAGGCTGTTGATAGGTGGGGTGGTCATGGCAGAGGGAGATTTGGGAGTGCATTCTGGGGAGGAGGAGCTGGGCTCATGTGGGGAGATGACAGCCCATGCCCCTCCTACCCCATCCTGAACTTAGGAGGCTCTGAGGATTGTTCTCTGCCACCCACAGGATCAGGTCCACAGATGGGTAAGTGAGAGACTCTGTGGGGAGGTGATGGGTGCCTGAATGGGGACAGAGGCTGAGCTATATGGGGTTTAGGCCCCTGTGAAGTGACTCCCTTATACCTGCCCTTCCCCTGCCTGGGCCTCAGTGATAAGCAGGTGTAAAAGAAGAGAATCCTTGTCCAGAGCTTAGATTTCCTGTCAGTTCTGGCCTTGACTTCCTGGAGAGGGCCTCACTGGGAAGCTCCAGGATGTGATGTTACGGGGTCTGTCCCCTCTGTCTCAGTGACGGTGACACTGTACAGGGAGGGACAGGCAGGACAAGGGTCCGGGCACCCAGTCCTCCCCCTCAGCTCAGGCTTAGCTCAGAGGGGGGAATACAGTGGATTAGCCCTGACTAAGCTCCTGGCTCTGCTGCTCCTGCTTTGGGGCTGGAGGTCCCTTCTCTCCTCTGAGTGTGGGGTTCCTGACTGCTCATCCCTTGTCTCATCTTGCCCACAGGCTGCTGGGAGATGAGGTGACATAAGGGCCTCACAGAGTTCAGGAAGGCAGAGCCTCATTTCCTAGGGGGGGCATCACAGCTAGCAGGGTGGGGACAGATGAGGGAGAAACCCAGAGTCCAGCCCTCATCCTGCAACTCCCTGTACCTGCTGTGCTGGGGACAGGTAATGAGGAAGGATTCACAGCACCATCTGCAGAGGAGTCCAGAGCATGAAGCTGATGTCCCCCTGGGAGTTGGGGGGGCGTGGGCAGCATGAGGACAGCACAGGGAATCCACAGTCCTCAACCCAGGAGTCTCAGCCCTGCCCCATCCAGGCTGGGTGATCTGGGGCACGTGATTAACCTCTCTGAGCCTCAGTGAAGTGGGTGGCGGGGTCAGCAATCCCTGGTGTGAGGTGAGAGGAGTGACAAATGCCAGCATGTGCCTCGCACACAGTAGGTGCTCATTCAATGGCATCATTGGCTCATTCATGACCTCACTCATGTCCCAGGTCCAAAATGGTACTGGATCGGGGTCTTGGTGGCCTTGGTCCTGCTGCTCTCCCTCCTCCTCTTCCTCCTCCTCAGACACCGATGTCAGAGCAAAGGCAGGACCTCAGGTGAGTAGGGAACGGGGTGACCTGGGGCACCAATGGGGTGCTCAGAGCAACTGCCACAGGAAACCAAAAAAGATGGAGGTCAGCTGGGAAAAGAATTTCTCCACATTCTCAAGTCAGACAATCTTGAAAGAAAACAATGTCAGAACACATTCAAGGTAATCTTTAATCGTTTTGAACCTCATGTCATATGAAACATATGCGCATGTGGGTGTTACATTTTCCTTCTTTCCTGTGGAATCACAAGGGGAGGGTCTCTAATCTCCCAGAGCTGACACTGTCCCTCTTGACCAGCCCAGACAGAGGTTCATGTCTAACCTCCTGCAGGGACCACACCCCCCGAGGACAAGGACAGAGGCCTGCAGATCAGGTAATTCCTGCTCCAAAGACCCAAGAACTCCAATACCCATGGCCCAGCTCTGTCCCTAACTCTCCTGTCTCCTCCCCCAGCTCCAGCTCAGCTGTGGACACCCAGGAGGAAGCTCTTTGTGAGAGGAAGAGACAGCTGCCCTGGGGGAGGGGCACAGGGATTTCAGGAGGCTATGGCAGGGAGGGGGGGAGTGGGGGAGGTTAGGCTGGGAGGCTGGGGAACAGGCTGAGAAGGACTGAGACCACCCTGTGATCTGGCTCTGCACCTCACCCTGGGTTAGTTGTTCATCTGGGAGCAGGCAAGGTCAGCAGCGCTGAGATCTCGGGGACCTGCCAGGAGAAACCCCTCTGTTCTGCCCCAGCAGATGCTTCTGTGAAGGACCCGCAGCCTGGGGAGAGCATAGAGCTAGACCCTCAGGTGAGACCCCTGCTCCTATTAAGGCCGCCAAGGACCTTCTGTTGCCCAGTTTAATCCAACGGACCCTTCCCTATCCCACCTCACCTGCTTTGACTCACTCCTCCTGGGTTCCTTGTGACCCCATGGCCACTCCCATGGGACCTCCGTTGCTGGCCCCTCATCCTCTGTCTGACCTTGTGCAGCCCCAGGTCTCAGGAGGAAGCAAGAATAAGTGACTCACCCACAGGTCCCCAGGACCCCTTCATTCATTCACCAGCAGATGTGAGGGGCTCACTGTCTACCGGCTCCATTTAGGGGCCACGGTTCCGCCCTGAGCCACACTGTGTCCACACGCCTCAAGCTCACCTGTGGGTGAGGGAGACAATATGCAAACAAGCAGACAGTGTCCCAGAGAGCAAAGTGCTGAGAAGGAACATAAAGCAAGAGGAGGGGGTAGAGTGCATGGTAGGGGGACAGGGAAAGAGCAGGTGCAGAGGTCCTGGGGCAGGGCCTCCTTCTTCAAGAGGAGGAGTCACGAGGCTGGAGCCCAGTGAATGAGAGAGAGCTGGTTAGGATGAGAGTCAGAACCACAGAAGCACCCAGAGGCCCAGGTCTTAGGAGGGTCCTGCAGGTTCCATCAGGAGAGGGACCTGGTCTATTTAAAGTGTAAGCCATCTCTCTGGCAACACGAGGATGATTGACAGGAGGATTTCTACTGTGGAATCGAGGAGACGCTGTTCTGTCTCACTGTCTCCTTCAGACCAGGCAGGATGAAGGTTCTCAGGGAGTGACGTATGCCCAGGTGAACCGCTCAAGACCAAGATCCGTGCTGGGAATGGCTACCTCTCTTTCTCATCCGTTGAGGGGATTGCTGGACACAAAGAGCAGACAAGCAGAAGAGGACAGAGAGATGAACAGTCAGGTGGGTCCCATCCTCTCCAGACCTCCAGGTTTTTCCCAACCCCAACCACGTTTCATTCCTCTTTCTTCCCCTTCTCCAGGCTGCACCTGACGTCCCCCAGGATGTGACCTACGCCCAGCTGAACCCTTTGGCCCTCAATCAGAGGACAACTGCACCCAGTTTCTTCCCATCTGATGAGCCCCCAGATGAGCACATTGTGTACATTGCTCTGTCTGTTCCCTAGCCCAGGAAGGACCCAGAACCCACATTTTAGGAAGGGGGCCTGCACATACCCCAAAAACTCAGAATGCTGCCCCATGGGCACGTGGCTAGTGCCCCGGCCTGGAGACCTAACGAGGACCACCCACAACTCCTTGGGCCTCTGGGAGTCTTTAGGTCAAAGATAACCTATATCTCTACCTTTTGCAAATAAAGCAACAGACTTCTCAGTAATCAATGTGTGAACCCAAAACAGAAGTGAATGTTTTAAATTCTAATGTAAACTAGAGGCCCAGTGCTGGAATTTGTGAATGGGTGGGGTTCCGAGGCCACATGTCAGGGCCATGGGGGGTGGGGCCAGCTGGCAGAGGGGAGGACCTGCGGGTGGTTGGCCCTAGCAGCAAACCAACCAATGGCAAATTCCACCAGGAATTGGGCTCCCTCCTCCCTCCTGTCTGGGTCCAGGGTGGGGATGAACCAGTTTCAGGGCTGTCAGGGCCTCAGCAGCAAGGTCTGGGTCAGTGCGCATCATAGCTACTGGCTGGTCATCAGGTCATTCTGGTCATTTGGTCTTAACAGTCACTTTGGCTTTTATATAGATGATTTTATATCGAATAGATCAATAGATATAGATAGATAGATAGATAGATAGATAGATAGATAGATAGATAATAGATTGATAGATAGATAAATATAGGGATAGAATTAGAGATAGATAGATATAGAGACAGGATTAGAGATAGAGATATTAGACCTATGAAATAAAAAAATTGAAAACCACAAATGAGTATATTGGACAAAGGAAAAGCCTTCAGTGTTCAATTTCCTAAGCTATTATATCAAGAATTAAAGGCCTGCAGTGAGGACTGAGTTGAGGGGGAAGTAGAGGGACATAAAGGACATCTGTAATACTATCAGCAATAAAAAAATAAACAAAAAAAAACTGAGAAAAAAAAGATAGCATTGAATCCTAGACTACTGGATATTTAAGATCCTCTGTGATGGGACAGGGCCCAGAAGGTCATGTCATGTCATGTCATGTCATGTCATGTCATGCCATGGGGAAGTGGGTGCCCTGAGTGGGAAACCAGGTTCCTCAGGTGATTTTGGTCTGCCCTGCCCTCTTGACCTTTTTACCCACAATTCTTAGTTCCATACTCCCAAGACTACACCATGGGAAACTCCATCTGATTGGGTATGGCTGGCTTGGTCTTGATGGTGTTTGGGGTGCTGCTATTTCAGGCTCCAAACAGCCAAAGAAGGACCCATAATGCTGCCAGAGTGTGACTAGAGAAGGAATAACACACGGTTCAGAGAGGGGGTGGGGTGACTTGGATCCCATATGAGGGTCTCAGCATGTAATGGAAGAAAGTGGGAAACCCAAGTTGGTAGAACGACCTGCCGATTTTTCTAGTGGAATCAACATTGTTTAGGGACACAAAAATGTCTATGGTCTCCTGTAAAAGCTTCTTCCTCCATTAAATGCATATTTTCTCTTCCTGTCTTGGTTGACTTTCTGTTATGACCCCCCTTCTTTCCTCACCCCACATGACTTGAGGGTCCATCCCACATGGCAGGTGTGGGTTTCCACATCTAACATGCTCTTGTTCAGCTCCTGGCATGCTCTCCTCCACTGTTATTTCTGTTTAGAGAATTACATTTATTGTGGTGAACCTTGTTTAATAAATTGTACCAGTTTTGAATGTGCAAAACATTATATATATATATAATTATGTGGTCCCATGAACCAGGAGGTAATGGTTCAATTCTGGTCAGGGCACATGCCTGGGTTGTGGGTTTGATCCCCCGTAGGAGGTATGCATGAGGCAGCTGATCCATGGTTCTCTCTCATCATTGATGTTTTTATCTCTCCCTCCCTCTTCCTTTCTCTCTAAAATCAATAAAAAATACATTTTAAAAAATTAACTAAATGGGCATAATTAGATACAAACCTACGAAAAAAAAATTTAAAATGATGTCTCACACCCACTCTGGACCCCACGACGCTTCCTCTTCCTCAGATGACACAGGATATTACATTTTTACATATTTTTTGTCAAATATTGCATATTTGTCATTCACTTGTAATATATGGTGGTGCCCTGACTGGTTTGGCTCAGTGGATAGAGCGTTGGCCTCGGGACTGAAAGGTCCGAGGTTGGATTCTGGTCAAGGGCATGTACCTTGGTTGCAGGCACATCCCCAGTAGGAGGTGTGCAGGAGGCAGCTGATCAATGTTTCTCTCTCATCGATGTTTCTAACTCTATATCCCTCTCCTTTTCTCTCTGTAAAATTAAATTAAATTAAATTAAATAAACACATTGTGAGTATGATCTTCATAAACAGCCTCACCAGTGCAGTCCATTTCTTTATTTCCCTCTTGTCTTGGAGACACTACCTAATACCCTTGCATGGTGGACAGTGTGCCAATGTGACCTGTTTCCACCTCTTTTTCTCTCATCTTCCCCCCCTCAGAGAGTCCCTATGCCTGTAATGGTGTCTGGATGTTTGTTTCTTTTTAAAATGTCCTCCCACTCCCTTAGGACGTCAAATAGCCATCATTCCCTCAACTCCAGTCTAGATCTGGGCCCAGTTGTTCTAATATTTTCTCTATCCTCTCCTTTGTACACAAGTTAATTGCAACATGAATCTTTGAATGCTCAGAGACTGCTAATCTTATGTTTCCAAATGCAGGAAATGAGTCTTTGTCAATTAGGTCTTTCTGGTGACTGGTATAAATACTGGTAGAAGGTGATGAGGAAATCTTTGCGTATGTCCTTGCTAAAGGCAGAAATTAAATTCCTTTTAAAATATTTATTTCATTATTATCTTTATTGTTGAGAGAATTACAGATGTTCCCCCCCCCTTTATTCCCAATTTCCCCCGTGTACCTGGTTCCTGCCCCACCCCAGGCCTTTTGTGGAGGTCTGACCATTCAACCATGCAGGATGTGGTTCTGCAGCAACTTACATTTAATTGTGGGTGTTATTGTCCTTGAAGAATAACAATCTCTAAGCCTAAGTTTTACCCTAACCCTTTCATAGATCGTATGTAAAGCATAGACTCATGTTTATATTTCCCTTTTATATAAAACTAGAGGCCCTGTGCACAAAATTTGTGCACCCAGGCAGGGGCCCTTCAGCCTGGCCTGTGCCCTCTTGCAATCAGAGAGTCCTCAGGAGATGTCCAACTGATGGGTTAGGCCCGCTCCTAGCTCCCCTTAGTTGGCAGTTGGACATCCTTAGCACTGCTGAGGATTTGGGAGAGGTTCCCACCACTGCCGCCACACTCGCCAGCAGTGAGCCTGGCTTCTGGCTGAGCATCTGACCCCTGGTTTTCAGTGCATGTCATAGCAACTGGTCATTCTGCTGTTCAGTCGATTTGCATATCACCTCTTCATTAGATAGGATTCAAGGAACACAGGCTAGGCTACATATCTGGATCCCCACCAGGAGCGGAAAAAGCTGGCCACATTTCAGTGCTGAATTTGCTTCCACCCTCTCAGGATTAACATACAGAGTGAGAGGTAATTAGGGGAGAGGGTGGTGGTCCATAGTCTTAAGGAAAATCTGCCAGATACGCATGCATGTTGTTGGTCAAGATTGGAGCCACCGTGAATCAGCACAACCTCCTGAAACCAGGACAACTGTCTTGACTTGTGGACTCTGACGACAACTTTGAATTTTCTTTGCAGTGTCAGGTTGGTACTACTCATCCTTCAGGAAAAGTGCTAAACGCCCCATGGAAAGTGCTAGAGAAGAGTTCTTTTTTAAAAAGATATTTTTATTTAAAAAACAATTTTTATTGATTTCAGAGAAGGAGAGAAAGATAGAAACATCAAGGATGAGAAAGACATTGATTGGTTGCCTCCTGCATGCCTCCTACTGGAGATCAAGCTTCAAACCTGGGCATGTGCCCTTGACCAGAATCGAACCCAAGACCCTTCAGTCTGCAGGCTGTTGCTCTCACCACTGAACCAAACCAGTTAGGGCTATAGCAGAGTTCTTGACGATTTATTCTTCAGCTGCTAAAGTGAAGCTCAAGATGCAGTGTTATCTTTAAGGGGGAGGGTAAATTAAAAACAATAAGAATGCCAATGGCAACCCCTATTCTGGGTATCGATGCAAAAAAAGATAAAAGCATCTATTCATAAAGGTACGTGTGCCCATGGATTATGGATGTCAGCAACCTTCACCCTCACCACTCCACCTTCACCACCTCACACAGCCGTGTGCACTTCCTGCATCCTGGAGAGCGAGACTTCTTCTCATTGCCAGAGGAGCGGATGAGGAGCGAACATTCAGAAACACTAGGTGCACGTTCAGCTCCTGTGAGATGCCCCTGTTGACCTGCATTTTTTGAGGCTGAGAACTTGGGGAATATGGTGCTCCTGTCAACCAGGAGGCAGGGCTGAGCAAAGCAGAGATGGTCCAGGATGTGGTGGGCAGTGTCTCCACACCGCATGTGTCTTGTTCACCAGGTGCCCAGCCTCACAGGAAGAAGACCAGTCTTTTCACCCTAAAAATAGAGGTTCTGAGGGCCACATCCTGACCACACTTCACATCTAACGTACCACATTTTCTTTTCCTAAGCTCTACAGTCACATAAGGACTTTCACATAATTTTTCTGCCATTGGAAAGTCATACCAATTATTCTATTTAAAACCTTTCAACAGCCCCTGGCCAAGCTAATGTAGAAAAGTAGTGAATAGTCTGAAGCAATCTTCAGGAGAAATATGACATCTGTCTGGCGGCTAGTATCTATTAAGACCTTGTGCCAGTACATATTCTTCACTCTCCTAAGAAACAAAAAACAGAGTGGACAGTTGGATTCTGCATTTGTAGAAGAGAAGACAACCTACAAGCTTTGCTTTTTGTAATTTTAGTTGAAATCATTTCTTGTGTCTGAGTCAAAATCAGTGTCTTATATTTATACTAGAGGCTCCAGTGCACAAAATTCATGCATGTGGGTTGGGTCCCTCAGCTCAGCCTGCATTCTCTCCAATCAAGGACCTCTTGAGGGAT